TCGATCCAACTGGGCTCATGAAAAGGCTGTGAAACCAAACCCTGCGCACCCGCCAGTGACTTGTGGCACCTCGATTCAGACTCTGGCCCTCCCCACGTGGGGGGGCTGAGCAAGCCACAGGGCTCCCCAAGAGCAAAACCTCAGTCTCCCCACCGCCCCCAGGAATGCTGCTGTCCAATGGCACACAGGCTGCCCTGCCCTTACCCATGGCTTGTTTTCTTATGCCGGCTGATCTCCTTCTCTCCTTCTATGATCCACTGCAGGATTTTCTGGTTCCTCTCCACGTCCTCAGGAGAGCCGGGCATATCGTAGCTGGCCCCGTCGCTCTTCCCTGAATCCGTCTTCTTGACGTTTCTTTTGGAGAGCAGCCCCGCCTTCCCGCTGCAAGAAGAAGGCTCCAGGCGTCAGCTCCTCGCCCAGAGCCACTGCGAGCAGCGTACAGTTAGCTCAGAGGCGAGGCTGCGCTTTGGGCGGAGAGCTGCCTGAGGCCTGGATCATCCAGGCGCATCCAACCCAACCACCTAGCTGCCGCTGCAGGGGCCTGGGACCATGATGGTGTCTCGGTCTCGCCTCTCCTCTGTCTGCGCAAGGCAACAGGCGAGTCTCCTAAGGACTGAGGCGCTTCCGTCCCCCCAAAGCAGCGGTAACTCACTGGGTGAAACTGGCTGGCCTGAAGCATCAGGCTAGATGAACTACCGGCCCCTTCTGGTTAATAATTGCCAGGGAAGTAGGAAGGGCTGAGGCAGTGTCCCCCGGGTGTCCCAAGGATGCCAGCCCCTCGCCCCAGCGGTTCCCCGTCAGGCACGGCGATGGGACGCAATGCTCGGCAGATCTCCGAGATCCTGGCGAGGGGGTGACAGATGGGGCTGAGTGCCAAGCTCAGCCTCAGCGTGGTAACACGGCCCACCTAGAACAGGGCTTGCCTTTCCAGACCCTGGCCTTGCCCCACTTCTCTGCCTCCCCATCAGACCGTGAACTCACTGGGGGCCTGATACCCCAGCCCCCACGTACCCAGTGCTCTCCTCTCGCCACGGCCAGCACTCGATGGCTCTGAACGCGGCAAATGACGGTGCAGAGAGGGAACAGCCTCCTGCCCCCTCAAAGGCTCTCAGCTTACAGCCCGGGTACACCGCAAAGCCGCGCTGCAATCCAACAGGCTCGCCTCCAGTTACAGCGAGCGCAGAGCGAGGACATGCAGCAACCCGAGAGCCTCTGCCGGGCTGCAGTGCCCAGTCCCCAACCCAGGGCTTTTAGAGTCTTCGACTCCTGCCCCCCGCAGGGACTTCCCATCAGCCTGTCTCGTGGAGTCCTTAAGGAGCCCTCCCCCAGAGTCCTGCAGAATGAGCTCACGCCAGCCCATCACCCCCCCAACCCCCAAAGAAACAATTCTTGTGTCCCTTCCACGTCTGCTTCGTGGGCTCTTCTGCTCCCAGGGTGCTCCTGCCCCGACCTCTCTGTTCTCTGACCCCACCTGCCCTGCTCGTCTAGGGGTAGCACCTCCGCTCTCCTCCCCTTCCTCCTGGGGGAAAAGGGAGCAGCTCCCGC